GCTGACAGAAGGCCAGGGCCGAGCCATGCAGAGAGGGTTCAGCTGCCACTGCGCTCAGAGCAGCCCTGAGGTTATGCTCTCATTTTGAACTTGATGCAGTTCAAGGGGCTGTGAAATCTTTGTTTTCCTTAAACGACCTTTGCTTGCACAAGACGGCCTGCATTCAGCTGTGGGCTGCACTGCATACTTCATCGCTTCAGCAAGGAATCCACTTTCCTCTGCTGAACGGCTAAGGCTCAGACAGATGTTTCTTCAGACCCACAGAGCATGATGCTATAATTGGCAGAGCTCTTGGAGAGGAACTGTCTGTATCTCTTTATGTGTCAGCCCCTTCCACGCCAGCTCCTCTCATCCCTGTCAAATCCTTCTCCAGCACCCTTCTGCCTTTCTACCAGCATCTCCCTTACTTCACTTTGGGTCCCCCTTCTGCAGAGCATTTGCCCGTAGGATGGGTACAGCAGGGAGAAGATACGGAGCCGTGCAGAGGATTCAAAATGGCTGATGTAGTTACCCCAACAGATTTACTCCAGCCTGCATGGGGTCAATGCTCCATTTGGCATTTTTTCACCAGGAAAAACATTTACTTTGAGAGAGGAAAGAGGAAAACAGAAAAAAAGCTCATGCTTACAAATCCCAAAACAAAGTATGGACTCAGAAATCCTCTAGTGTTTTTTGGATGATTTCATATCTCAAAAAATGAATCCATAATACAATAATGCTGATTATGACATTTGAGTATTTGCAGTGGGATCTTTCACAGGTGGAACTTAGGAGGAAAAAAAAGGAACAGCTCGGAGGGCAAAGGTTTTGTTTAACAATGTACAGTAAACTGTAGCTTAGCACCAAAGAGTGAGAAAAGCAGTCTATTGGCTTCTCAGGAGCACTAGAATATCAAGACATCCTAATGAAGAATGGCTGTATTTCAGGAAAAATTCTGAGCAAGAAACTGTCTTAGTTAAACAAGTCTTCCCTTTTGCCTGGTTGGTAAACGATTAGAAATAGGACACAAAAGCCAGGTATTTGAAGGAGAGAGAGGCTCCAAAGGCGCAAAGGCCAGATTTCATGCTGTCGGAAGTTTAAAACTGAGGTCTGGGACGAGGCATCTGTAGAGGCAGGGACCACAGGTCGTGCAGTGCCTCAGGCACCAGCTCTGAAGAATACGAACAGCTCTTGCCAGCCCTTGCAGCTTCAATATGACTTGAAGTACTCGATGCTCTGTTTAAAGATGCTGGAGTCAGAAAACAGTATGAAAGGATTTCATCCTCCTTCACTGCAGAAGCCGTTGTTAGGGCTTAGCCTCTTGGCTGCTCAGTACAGGACTTGCTCTTATAACAACTGTCTCTGAGAGAGAGGGAACAAAGCGGTGTGCCCAGGAATACTTAAACTGACGTCAGATTTGCGCACAGCCAGGAAGGTATCTCAGCTGCGATGCCGTTGCCTCGATCAGTAACTGTGCTTTTCCACTTTGTTCTCTTTTGTTTTAGGGCCGTTGCATCAATTTCACCAGAGTGAAGAACACAGAGGCCCCACCCAAATACCCGCTCAACAACGCATACCCTCCGTCATCTCCACCTCCAGC